TCAGGTGGCCAGAGGGATTGCTGCTGTGGGCACACTCATTCCTCCTGGGACCTTAAATTTGTGCTCCCTGGGGTGGGTTGAGCATGCCATGCAGAGTGAAGAGCTTTGCTGCTCGATCCCAGCGCAAGCCACACCTCGCTTTTCTGCTTTGATCCTCACACCACCTGGAAACATCTCTTGTTCCCAAATTCCAGGGCACTGAAGGTATCCCGGAAGGCTGAAATCCTGTCCCCGCTGGGGGCTCTGTATTACAACACGGGGCGGTATGAAGAAGCGTTGCAGGTTTACAGAGAAGCGGCATCACTGCAGCCTTCGAACAAAGAGATCCGACTGGCGCTGGTGAGTGTGGGGCGAGCTCGGCCAGGGCAGAGCCACGAAAGTGGAGCACCAGCTGCTAGGTGCCGCATCATGTATTAAGGAGGGTTGAGCTTTTTAAGATCATGACCTTTTATAATGTGGCTCTGTAGGCTCAGGTTTTAGCAATGATGGGGCAGACGAAGGAAGCCGAAAAGATGACGAACCATATACTCAATGAGGATGTGGAGTGCCTGGAGTGCTACCGCCTTCTGTCAGCCATCTACAGCAAGCAGGAGCACTATGCCAAGGTACCATAGCCACGGGGTACCCTTGTCCCAAGGGCTCACACACAGAGCTCAGGTTGAATTTTACATTCCGTCTCTCCGGAGACGTGTCACGTGCCTTAGCGCACATCCAGTAGATTTATTTTTTCACTAAAACCTTCTGTTTATCTAGGTACTGGGACTGAAGCTAAGCAGTGTGCTTTTCTTACCACTTACTGCTCCTGCTGCTGTCAGCCCCACTGCCCATCAGCCACAGGCATCTGAAAAACTCATTTCCGCATGTGTTAACAATGTGGGACAAACAAGGGAAGGAGGAAGATGACTCTTATGTTGGGAGGCCCTAGCGGGTGAGGAGAGCATGAGAGGTGGAAAGACACAGAATACTGTAACACAATGTCCTCTTGCTTTTTCACAGGCACTTGAAGCTATAGAAAAAGCTCTTCAGCTAAAACCAAAGGATCCAAAAGTCATATCAGAGCTCTTTTTCACTAAAGGAAACCAGCTAAGAGAACAGAATCTCCTTGACAAGGCTTTTGAGGTATGCCTGCTCTAAGCCTTATGGATAGTTTTGTAGGTTAAAAGATTAAAGGTTAAAAAATAAAAGGTTAAAAGAAAAGTTAGCTCATTGCCTCTAATACTCTCTGGTGCACGCACCCTGTCTGTTGGCCTTGGGAGCTCAGCAGTTCACCAGTGGTACAGCTAAAGCTATGGGGCAGCTAACTTTGCCAGGCTTAGTTGCAACTTTTTTCCTCGTTCCTGTGTGGAAATACAGCTCCCTGCTCTGAGGGGTTAAGTGCAGAGTTGTGGTGGGACTATGGATAGGCCTCGTCGCACTGACCAGACCCTTGGTCCATCCAGCCCCAGCCCCTCTCACTGGCAATGGCCAACTCCAGGGGGCTCAGCTGAAACCTGTGAGAGCCCACCACGTTGTTATATCTCACCTCATTACCTAATAGCTGAGAGATTGGCTTATGCTGTGGAGCAGGAGGCTTGATAGCTCGGAAATTATGTTAGCATTAAGTAATAGCACAGAAAATTGTTATTGGGACAGTTCTGAATACTCTCGATATCCTTACAGATGCCTAATCCTGGTTTGAATCCTTTCCTGCTGTGAGACCATAAAAACGGTGCTGTTTGACAGTCAGAAGGTCCTTGTTGCTTCTTCCCATGCACAGTGGCATGATGTTCTTCCCATGCACAGTGGCAGAAGCAGTGGGGAGGGATAGCACTGCCCTCAGGTCCTTGTGAAACCTCCGTGCAGGTGGCTGTACCGGTCTGCTGCCAGCTCCAAATTAAAGCCTTGCAGATAAGGAGCATCACAGCCCACACACAGCTTGTGGGTGGCAGGCACCTGTCCGAGGAAATGACCCTGACGTGTAGGAGACCGCAGTGGTGCGGGGTGGCAGGGAGAGGGTCGCAGGGGTTGGTGTGGCTCCTCGAGTGGCACTGTGGGCAGGGAAAACCTGCGAGATGAGCTCAGCAGTGAAGCAGTATGTTATGTCACCTCTGCTGTAAAGAAACTGAAATTCAGCTTGTGCATTGTATATGAGAAGAATTTGAAATCATATTTTAAATGGATTCAGAGGGAGAGGAAACTTAGTTTCTCTTTCCCCTCCAGTGCTGCTTTTGTTTGAAGACTCAGACTCTTAACCTAAAAATGTTTCATATTTATGTAGAGCTATAAACGGGCTGTGCAGCTCAACCCAGACCAAGCACAGGCCTGGATGAATATGGGAGGCATTGAGCACATTAAGGTATGACAATTTTGCTTTTCCTTAAGCTGTCAACTGTAGAGACTACTACTCAGGACAGAAAGCTAAATTTGTTTCAGACTGCCAAGAGCTGCATGTTTGTGAACAGTGAGTGTCCCTGATGTATTTTATCCAAAAAGGAGGAAAGTCTGTCGACCCCAACTGGAATTTCCCAACCAGATTGCTTGGGAATATGTATCCAGTAATGTAAATCCCATATTTGTAAGAGGACAGGCTGCAAGGAACAACTTGCCCATCTCTAAAGTTTTTCTGCTTCAATTGTTGACCTGCCTTAGAAAAATGTCACTGTGAGTCGACTTTTAAGATTCCTCTACCTAATTAATTTAATAAAGATGTCTAATGCAGAATGCTGGCATGAAATTATGGAAATAGACAGCCCACCCTGTGGTTGCTTATCTTTTTGAATACTTTAGCATATCATTATGATTTGGGTCTTAAGGAGTCACATTGTGTGATATCCTCAAGCTATCCTATCGCTGAGTAAAATTAACTCTTCTGGTGCAACATAACGGAAAAATGTAAATCTACTTCTTGCCGTGTGTGTTTGATCAAATTTAGGCTAACGGCACTCGGTGATCCGTTTCATAATGAAGAAGTATTCCCGTTACCTAACAACATCAAGTTTTATAAACTCTTTTTCCTTTGTATTACGGTCTTCACCATTCCCAAGGAATGAACTTTCTATGTCAGGGAATGCGAATGAAATCTGTCACTCGTTTTCTTTGTAGGGGAGCTACGTCACTGCCCGTGGCTACTATGAGAAAGCCTTACAGCTGGTTCCAAACAGCAAGTTGCTGAAGGAGAATCTGGCCAAACTGGATCGCTTGGAGAAACGGTTTCAGGAAGTCCAGGAGAAAGACCAAACATAGCGTTCAGTCACCAGTGGAAAGGAACTCATGCCCCTTGGAGAAGAGTATGGTGGAAGCCTATTGCTCAAAGTGATGCTGAAGGAACTTTATAGGACTCAGAATTACGGAAGGCAAATTTTGAATGCATGCTTATGTTTGATCAGAGTTACAGGAGACACTCGGCTCCTGTGGGACATGCTGGAGAATGAATGAAAACCTTCCTTTAATCAAGATTTATGTTTAGGCTGAACCCATTTTAGTCACACCGGGAGCATGGGTGGGACACGTACCTTCAATGTCTTGGTTATCACTGGGGAAACCATGGAGACAAAGCACTCACCCATTGCAGCGGGGGTGAAGTAACACCTCCTGTTACTCAACACAGGCTCACCTCGTCCACGTAAAGTACCACTGATGGGCTTCATTGCAAGTGCTGCCAGGTCTTTCTGAGCCAGGAAAGATGGTCAGAATGGTCACAGAAAAAGGTTTCAAGGGGTTAATGCTGAGGAAATGGTGGCCACTTTTACAGCTCTAAATGTGACTTGAAAATTATTCTAAGGAAAGGGAAAGCGGTATCTGAATATCACCCAAGAAGGATGATTCTACAAGTAGGACAAATGGTCCTTTGAGGGAAAACCTCACCTCAATGTTTTACTCATAAGATAGTAATTTTGTAGTCATTCAGGTTCATGATGTCAGTATTATCAAATATCATATGGCTTTACCCTTTGCCGTCTCTCTCCAGGCCACATAATTATCACTCTGAAAAAAATGGAAGCATCCAAAGGCAATGGGAAGCTCTAGGATCACTTGTCCTCCTGTCCAGTCCCCAGTAAAAAAACCAAACAACCGATCTGATCAATATAGAAGGTAAAGTAAAGCCACAGAGAGCTTCGGGAAGATTTCCTAGCCTGGAAAGGTACTGAGGAGGCTTTTTTATGGGTGTGCAGGGGCAAAGCCCATTTATCATGGTGATAACCCTGACAAAACACTTTGTCAAAGTGTTCTCACCCCCTCCCCCAAAAGATACGGAAAATTACCTATAGCTGATCAGTCATAAATCTGTATTTTTAAATACTGAAGTGGGAAAACAAATTCTCTCCAGAATTGGGGCTTTTATTTTTGAGTTTTATTTATTTAACTTATAATAATCAAATAATTAATATATTTTCTCTATTTTATACGAATTGGGCAGTATCCTTCACAGCCGGCCATGTGGCTGGGCATTGTGACTTGCATTGTCTGAAGTTAGAAAAATGCAGTACCACCGAGGCGTGCTTGAATAACTCCCCCTAATGATGTTTCTAGAGCAAACGGCTGCAGAGCACATTGCACTGTCACTGCAATAACAGCTCTTCTGCTGCTTCCACCAGGGTTTGTACCAGTTCACAGAGAGCGTTAGTGGGATCATGCTTGGTGTCACTGCCTTTGGGTTTGGACATCAGGGTAGGTCATCAGTTTGTTCCTCTTGCAGCAGGAAAGTGCCGTAAAAGTTGTTATATTTGAGCTTGATTGTGGCGAGTCCCCGCAGAAGAGCAGCCCAGGGTTTGGCATTATTAGTTCAGAAGAACAGTTCAGATTAGGTGTGCGATGCCTTGATACACCTCTGTCAGGAAAAGCCTGTGTGGCAGTGACCCATGTGGCGCCCAGGTTTAGTTGGTGCTGGCCATGGCACCTCAGCAAGCTCCGAATTCGCTCAGCGCGATGGGACAGCCGTGCGCTGGTGGCTCCGCTGGCTTCATTTAAACAGCTCGGTGTCTAGCCGCTACTGGTGGTCAAATTACTGACAAATTCTTAACATGACTCCAGCTGCGTTTGGAGCTCAGAGGGAGACCAGACTGGTGCAGATGTCTGCCCTGCCAGGGCTTGTGGACCAGATAGAGCCATGGCTGTGTGTCCACCGAGACGAGGGTGGACTTGGGAGGTACTGGTCCCCACTGGCCAAGGAGAACGGCCAGTGCCTACAGCTGGGCAGAGGTGGGAGGGAGGGACCATCGGGGGGGGAAGGTGGTGACACACGTTTCTTGGCTCTCTCCCTTTGAACCAGCTTCCCAAGGGAGCAGCTGGGACCAAAATAAGCAAGTCTTTTGCTGATGAATTTTCCCTTCTCTCCCCAGCCCAAGCAGCCGACTTTGCTTTCCGGGGCCGAGGGCAGGTTTGAGGTCCTGGAGCTGGGTCTGCATCCATGTCTTTTCACATGACTTTTATGGCCATGGACTTGCTGACCTGATGTTTCTGCAGGTCCCCAGTGCAGGTGCTCCGCTGGATGCCATGCATGGAGTAGCTTTGCACAGCCCTCGCACTGCCAGGATGGCTGGGAGGAGACGGGGTCGTGCCGCCAGAGTCCCGTGGGATGGGGAAACCAAAGCTTAAATGGCCTCTGAGAGCAGTCGGTTCCCCACCGTCCATTGCAAAGTTGTAAATGGTTCATTACTGGGGTATTCAGAGGTATCTGGACCATAAAGCTCCCTGCTTCTCCCCAAGGTGACCCTGCCTTCAGGGCAGCACCACCAAAGCCCTGTGCACCTGGGTGGGATGGCCATGGACTTGCTGACCTGATGTTTCTGCAGGTCCCCAGTGCAGGTGCTCCGCTGGATGCCATGCATGGAGTAGCTTTGCACAGCCCTCGCACTGCCAGGATGGCTGGGAGGAGACGGGGTCGTGCCGCCAGAGTCCCGTGGGATGGGGAAACCAAAGCTTAAATGGCCTCTGAGAGCAGTCGGTTCCCCACCGTCCATTGCAAAGTTGTAAATGGTTCATTACTGGGGTATTCAGAGGTATCTGGACCATAAAGCTCCCTGCTTCTCCCCAAGGTGACCCTGCCTTCAGGGCAGCACCACCAAAGCCCTGTGCACCTGGGTGGGCTGGCTGCCTGCGGTACCGCCGCGTGGCAGCGAGTTTGGGGGCTGGCAGAGCGGTGTTTGGTGCAGCCCCCGACAGCGGTGCCATGCAAAGCCCCCCGTGGAGGAGGCATCTGCAGAGTGCTCTGACAGCTAGCCGAAGCGTGGGGGATAGGGGTGGGGGGAGATACGTCTCATTTAAAAACATGTATCAGCTATAAACTTTGCCTCATAAAGATATATTAAGTAAATACTATATATTCTACAAGCTGCACAGCAGTGTGGCTTTAAACTGTGGCCAATGAAACATATTTTTTCAAATATAGAAGAAGTTGTATTTTTTATAGCAGTGCTTTGTGAGGGGGAAGACTTGGTTTTGTGTTAACTTCGGCTTAAATCTTAGTTTGTCTTTCCTGAGAGACCTGGTAGAAATGATTGTCTCGTTCTTGTCCTAGAACCTAATCAAAGCCATCTTGACCTCCTAAAACCGGTGCATGTGTAAAACTATAATACAGCTTTGGCTGCCTCCCCTCCCAGATCCTGGAGAAGGATTACCATTTTTGCAACACTGTCTTACTTGCAGAATAACGTAGAAAGATGAGACCATCCTCTCCGTGAGGGAGGCGGTTTGGTTGGAAGGCATGGCGTACATTCATCCACTCACCTAAATTAGGCAGGTAATGTATCCACGGAGTTTAATCCCAGCTGAACCAGATTACGTTTATATGCCGAAAGGCCGACTCTCCACATTTTGGAGCTGGGTTTATGGTAGTTACGGAGAGAGGAGGGCTCAGTCATGAACCCCGCTTTCCTGAACCAGCACTTTATACCCCATCTATGCAGGATGACGGTCTGCGAACTGGCAGCATATTTGGAGGACGATTCAGACCCTGAGCTATTAAAGCAGTTAAACCCTTGTGAAGTTTTGAGCTGATTCCGTCTCGTTGGCATCCGTGCTGAAATGCTGTGTTTGTTCAGGACATTAATCTTGTGAAAGGTTTATTGCAGGCGAAGAAGAAAAATGGAGTATGATATGAAATGGGTTACCTCCACCGAAATGGAATGCTATTGTGGAAGATAAATAGAGCGACTTACCTTGTGATAAACTGGATATTATTCTAATTAATCATAGGAAATGTCCTCTTCCTCTAGCATTGCACAGCTTCTAAAATAATGAGTTATAAATACATTGTTTTCTGCCAACTCCAGTGCTCAGCATGATTAGCAGAGATTACAAATTAATAAATGACTGAAGCTCTACCTGGTGGGGGAGAGTTCACTCTCTCTGCGAGTTGCATTGGCTAAACCTCAGTGCTCACCAATATTAAAGTGGAGAATTAACGCAAAGCTGGTTAGACAGGACTTTCGTGTACTCACTGTGCATTTTAATCCTAAATGAAAAACATAATAATTGTGTTGCTTTTTGCTTTCCCCATGAATAATATTTTCAGCTGATGGATTTTGTTTTATTTTATTGCTTATTTGAAGTCCAGCGTTCTTTGCTTCCATTCCTTTTCCATCCCCCGGGATAAATGATGCAGTGGGGGGGCATTTTCTCTCTCTCACAGACTGCTTGGACTAGGTTTTCCTACAAATGTGCAGGCAACTTGTTTTGGCCAAACAGTAAGTGAATGCAGCAGTGCAAATGGCCTTCATTCCAGAGATCTTGACGAGGACGGCGGGGGGGTGGGGAGATGGGAGGATGTGCATGCGTGCACATGGGTGGAAGAAGTCTAAGTCAAAAAAATCCAAAATAAAGAGCCTAACTTGCAGGGGTGGCTGGACACCCCTAAAATTAACTAAAAACTATGAAAGCTTTTCAACAGTTATAGAAACCAGTCCAGATATGGTGTACAATATTTGGTGGAAGAAGATAATTGTCATTCTAATTTTAATAATTAGGCAATTTAGAATATAGTTGTATGATATTTTGCCCCACTTGTCCTCCAACTCAGTGAAAAAGTTGGTATATGCTTAAGTCTCCTCAATCTGTATGTGATTAAGTTGACCAAGTGCTCAATTTCTATCTTTCATATATGCAATTATGCACAATCTTTGGAAAAAATTAGCCCTTAGAGGGTTCTTCTTCCCCAACCTTCAGTATCTTGCAGCAATTTCAAAATGCACCATTTTGCTTTCATGTACATTTAAACCCAGCAGCAAAAAAAAAAAAGAAAAAGAAAAAAAAAGCGCTTGGCATTCACTGGTGTTTCAATGTGGCAAAGTTGCTTCAGGTAATCTCGATAACTTTGTGCAAAAGTTCATTGCCATATTTGTACTGACTTGCTGAAAATTTTTTCTTCTGGAAAATACCCCCAGTTGGTATCCTCTGTAAAAGTTATGGCTTCTGCAACTGTATTACTGTAGAAATCTCTGCCTGAAGTGGATGTCACGCTGCGTGTTCCTCTCATGCAGGAGTTGTTTGCATTGCCTGTTGTTCATATGGTTCTTATTTCTGTATCTGTTTTTTTTAATCAGTTGTGCATATCTTTTTTAAAAAAAACAAGAAAACAGCCTGTGGATTAGAAATCTTTTAAAAATAAATTCACACTTAGCAGCAGCTGGATGTATGTCAGTGGTACAGGAATTTGCAAAGTCTTTGCTTTTTTCACTGTGGGATTTATGGCTAGATTTCACATACAGGAGTTATGCTCGAAGTCTTTGCAAAAGAAAATGTATGTAAATGTCTATTTTATATAAAAAGTAAGAAAAGTAAGTGCTGTGTCTGGTTTTGTTCTCTTGGCTATGGGGTCAGTCTGTTCCGTAGGACCAACCATGACCAAGTTCTTTTGGAGGTGGAAGGGCCAAAGTTTCTTACTTCACTTGACTTCCATTTTACTGCCCAAGGAGTCCCAGTGACTGCTCACGTAGGAGCAACTATGCAGCACGTGTCCTTGAGTCTGGCCATATAAAAACATTGGAGCAGGCATTTTTTGGAGCCTGAGCATGAGAAAGGGTGGCTGGTGCTTGCACGGTCTTGATGATTGGACATGTTATACTGACATAAGCTCTTCATGTCAGGCTTTATACATCTGTTGGGAATGTGTCAAACACACTTAAGTCTGTTTGACACACTCTGTTAAGAGTGCAAAGAGAAAAACAGAACAGAAATCAAAAAGAAACTCATTTTGTTCTAATTCCCTTCTTTCTGGCAGACATTCCCAGATGCTCCTGCATGTTCCCAGGGCTTGGGTTCACTCAGGGGATTGTGATGGTGATAAACACCTCCATTGAAAATGGACCTGAAGGAGAATCTAAAGCCCTGAACACAAGCCATAGTGTTTTTTGCCATCTTGGTGTGTGCAAAACCCCTGTAGCATGCAGAGGAATTGCACGCTCACTTTGAAGTCAGCTCGTACACCCTGAAGTTCTCCTGGATCCCAACGGTGCAGGGTTTCTTAGTGGAGCTTGCTCTTGCAGTATGTGGATAACAGCTCTCCCCGTAAAAAAGGTCAAATCATTTTCATCCTTACGGCAGCTACTTAAGGCTCTCCATAAGCCCCGTGTATTGCTTCACAGGCAAGAAGCTGCTGGAGGTTTCAGACAGCTCTCTTGGTGTCCTCTGGGAAGGAAGAAGAAACATGCCATCATGCCTTATACAGGTGCTCCCCCTGGCCGGCTTGGGCAAGGAGAGACCGTGGGGCGAGGAACTTGGCTGGACTCACCTTTGCCTGTGCTAACCCTCCTCTGCAAAAGCAATGAGATTTGTTTCAAACCGGAAGGGCTGAGGCAGCTCGGGGCTGGTGGCAATGGTGAGGGGGGACATTAGATCCTGCCACTGCCCCCTTGGGGAGCGGGCAACAAACTACGAACAGGAGAGCCCAGGGAGCCTCTGACCCCCAGCGAGACATGGCTGGGGAACCTCCAAGCCCACCTGAGTTGCAGCCCTGCAGCCTCACCTGCCAAAACTGATTGGCCCCCTCATCTATTAAAGGGGCTTGTTAGCTGGGAGGAGAAGGAGGCTTGTTTCTCCTGTGTGCAGAAGAGAATAGTCTGAGATGCAGCACTGGGTGCTTTCCCTGGGCAATGGTGGGAGCTTGCTGCTGGTGTCCCTTCTTGTTCCATGTGGTGAGTCCTCTGTGTGCAGGCTGTGGGGAGATGTGCCCCAGTGTGGGGGTTACAGCAGCGAGCACTGATGTTATCTGCTCTTTTAAGGTACCAAACAAGTGAATGTAACCAGTCAGTTTCCGCAAATCATGCCAGGGCTTGCTGTGCTTGCCCCTGGTGAGTGATTTTGGGCTGCCGTTGCTGTGGCTCTGCTGGGACTGGAAGCCTTTCTTACCCTCTCCATCTAGGTGCTGCTCACCACAGCCCTCTTCTTGGCTGCTGTGGCAAGTGAGCTGTTCCCCATGCAGGCTGCTCAGCTGCAGTGTGGTCCCTTGGCTGTGCAAGAAAGATAAATAGTTTGGTCCTGCTGAGCTTGTTAATTGGTGACCCTGGGGCACTCATGTCAGAAAAGTGTCTAGGAGAGCAATGAATGGCAGCATGTTCTCAAATCCTTCTTGCACATCCTCCTGCAGTGGCTATATGTATTTATAACTCCCTGTCTGGCCTGCTCCCACATCCATGTAAAAATTTATTTCCTAGGGATGCTTGTAGGTAAGAGAGGGAAATAAGCACAGGGCAGGCTGCAAAGGGGGTCAAGTTGGGCAGAAGAATGGTGATCTTCAGAGTGACTTGCTCCTGGTAATGAAACTAGTGCTAAAAAGATCTGCCCAGCTGGGGCAAGAGATGGGATAACCAGCTAATTGCTATCCCTCCCACCCTGCTCCAATATGATGCCGGTCCTTCTGCTGTTGCTAATGTTATTTCTCTCCCCACCTAAGGGAATGGTGTTTTCTCCATCATTTACCTCTGTGATAAAGTCTATTTATTTTCTACTTCGCTAGCAGACTTGCTGCTATAGCAATAATCACCACAGTCTCTTGTTGGAAAAGGTAGTCAGCAGCAAGGGCTAGGGAGAGCTTGGTCCAGGTCAATGGCTTAGAAAATTGTGCCTGATTTTGTGACTGAGTTTTCTGTAGTAGTCAAATGCTTTGAGGCCAGAGTGTGCCCTGGGAATATGATAAAATGCTATTAAAAAAGGAAAGAGAGAGAGGCTGGGCTGAACGGAGCAGCAAGGAGCTCAGTTAGCCCCTCTACAGCCAGGAGTGCTGCAGGAGTTGTGCAAGGATCCCCACAACCTTGTGGGGTGAGTCCTGCTTGCTGCTGTCTCATGGTGGTTGGCTGTCCGGGTGGAGGAGAAAGATATGGGTTCCTGAGTTCACTGGCACTCAGTTAAGGTGGTGTGAGAGATTGGTGGCTTTTTAATGCCTGTCAACCTGATGGGAAGGTTAAGCAAGCAGCTTTGCCTTCAAGCCCACACAGAGGACATAGGACCCAAAGTTAAAGAGGGGGCTGGAGGGGTGGTGGTGTGCTGGTTGGTAACATTTTGGATCCAGACTTGGTCTCCTGGTGACTCCAGTCAGTTATTCCAGGCTCTTGCCAGGGCAAACACAGTGCGAGTACCTCCTAAATCATGAGCATTATATTGCTTATGTTTGCTTGGCTGGGAACTGAACTCTTATCCCAGCCTTGGCTTGGGAGAGGCAGGGGACCCCTCCTATTGGCGTAAGAAACACATTGGACAGGAGTGATTAACAGAGTGATTTTTAGCTGGTGCAGACACGGGGCCAGCTGAAGGGGGTGGAGGAAGAGCTGCTGTCCTCTTCTCAGCAAAGGAGTCAGAAGCCTGATGCTACCCCTCTCCCACAACCACCCAGCCTGGAGAAGCAGACCTCTGGTATGAAAAGTTGCAGTTGGTTCCTTTTCTTTGTGTCCCAAGTATTTGAGATCTCTCCTCCTGTGTGATCTTTGCTGTGATGATCATGTTCTGGAGCTGACCCAGGGGAGCAGCACACCCCTTCCTCCTCCACCCAGCATGGGGTCTGGCAGGCCTGTCAGTGTGTGCATCACTCCCTGCTGGGCGAGGACTGGTAGGGTTTTCCCTAGAAAACATAAATGGGATTGCCGTGAATTTATCTCAAATTGCACAGTTCAACGAGCATCTAAAACTTAATCAGACCCAGCCATCCCTAAATCAAACTTTCCCTGTGCTCATTGTCCACATTTCTAAGGCAAAACCAGTGCCAAAAGCGATGTGAGAAAGCTCTGTCTCCTTGAGATGTGTTTCAGACCAAAGTCAAGACTGCGTGCTGGGCCAGCTCAGTTCAGAGACAAGATCATAATGACTTTACTTGCTCAGGTTAAGTGCTACAGGACACTTAGTTACGGAAGCTTTGAAATAGTAAACTTTGAATAAAGTCAGGTGGCATCATTACAACCTGTTGCACTTGTTACTTAATTTTGTAAGTCCCAGTTGCATTTCATTAGGAATAATTAGGCTACTGGCTGAAATCGAAATTTGCTTTTTTATGACTGCACACACATCATGAAAATACCTCACAGGAGACTTCAGCTTTGCACACATCAGCTTCTTATCAAGAAATGCAATTTCCGTGTGTTTTCATTTATCTCCATATAATTACCTTCAGCTTGGAGCTCAGGCTGGAGTCAGGAAAGCTGGGACACCTGGGATTTGTCCCATTAATTCCCTACCTGCCAGAAGAGCCTGGGGTGATGCATTTGAGCATGCGGGGGGGTTGTCTCACTGCAAAATACTCCTGTTTCTGTCTTCTATGTAGGCCTGAATTGTGGACTTCATCCCATTGACCTGAAGAGCCCAAAGGATGCTTTGCCGCTGGGATTCTTCTCTCAAATTGTTGGAGGAAGACAGTTGGTGCCTGGAGGGCAGCCCTGGCAGGTCTGTGTTGCAGTGTGCTGCCTTCCTCCCGGGGAAGGGGGAGGAGAGGCAGCAGCAAAATGTCTCTTTCATCCTCAAGTCATTGAATGCTGCTCACTCAGGAGTGGAAGTTGATCTAAAAGTCCCTCTTGCCCGGCTTCCCAGGCTGACCACCCTCCCAAAGTGGGAGGGAATGAGCTGATCTAATGGTTAAGACAAGATCTCTGGCTGGGGTGAGCTAATGCAGCTGCAGAGCTTTTGTGGCATGCACCAGCTGAGGATTTCCTTGCAGGGAGGTTGCAGAGGTGGGAAGGGAGGATGCCTCCCTGGTCCCCTGCTGCAGAGGAAAGTTACCTTGCCTCACGGCTTGCATTCACATAAGGAAAAGCAATGATTGTGGGATGATGTCTTATGAGTAACTGAGCAGGGCACGGCTCTATTTAGAAAAGTACTACTTGTTTGCATGTTGCCAGAGCAAACGCTGGCACCTGTGGCAAAACAGTATTTGCAACCTCCCTCCCCCCAAAACCCAGTCCCTGCCTGTGCAGCAGCTTGAAAATGTATGCAGGTAGTAGCATGAAGTGCAGGAAGGCACATGAGGGAGTGGTGTAGGGAGAAGGTAGGGTGCTGGGGTCAGGGGGATGGATTCTCTGGACCCCTGGCTAGCATCAACCCCTGGGGAAGCTCTTGCAGCAGTAAGAAAGAGGAGTGAGATGTCTTCTGGTCCCCTCTGTTTCAGGATGCTCCAGGGTCTCATTCCTCTCATGCACCACTGGGGCTGAAGGTGGCTGCCAAGGGTCAGTCACGGCTTGGAAATGAGTCCCCTGGGCTCCAGGCAGCTGGGCGTCCCACACACTAATACTGGGAGGAAAAAGTTGTTTTCTGGGCTGGGCTGATCTTTGTTATTTCACATTTTGGGGGGAAACAGGCGTCAACTCATCTCAAAACGTACCTGACCCTTTCTTTGAAGGTGTCCCTCAAACTGGGCCATTTCCATTTCTGTGGTGGCAGTCTGGTCCGAGAAGATGTGGTTATTACCGCTGCTCACTGCATGGTCAACCTGGAGCAGTAAGTGAGCCTCACCTCCTCACTCGCTCTTGAACTTCTTGCAGCAAAAGTTCCCCTGAGGACACAGGGAGCTCCTGGGCCCAGGTGTGTGGTCCCCGGTTAGGGAGGGAAATGCCCCTCACAGGGTTGAGTGGAGCCAGTGCTCTGCCACAGTTAGATCTGTGGGATGTGTCACTCCAGACCCACAGGTCCTCGAGCAATTCGTGCATCCCCCAGTACCCTGCTTGCTCCTGTTGTGTCTCTGCACGTTCCTCCCCAAAGCCTGGGGAGAGGGCTCACCCGCTCAGGGAGTCTGCAAATCAAAATTCATATGTCCTGTTCAGTGCTCAGGAGCTCTGTGAGGTGTGGGCAGCCCTGGGGCAGAGGTCAGGGTGTGGAAATCTCCATGCTACCACGGTTTTTCTAAATGTCTAAATCACTAATTTTAGAGGGCTTTGTCTTTAAAAGACCCTGCTCACCTAAACAAGCATCCAGAGAAGCATTTCTGAGGCAGAAGGAGAAGCACTGCAGCTTTCTGGTAAAAGCAGCCCTGGCAACTGTCCCATTACTCCTAGCAGTCACGTTGGCTTATGTACTTTTAATGCAAGACCAGCTTCACAGGCCATGCTAAAGACCTCTTAAAGGGCAGGGACAATTATATAAGTGGCCCCTTTGCTAGCCCTTTTATAATCCATTATAATGTAATTGCAGACCAGTCAGCTTCACATCTTTTTCTTGCTCAACTTGAGCATCATTTCTGAGGACTGGTGTTGGATAATGAGAAAGTTGTTATGGTATAAAAATTTCAATGTGCAAGATTAATCTCGATAATGAGGCACCTCCTTTTTTCTCTATTCCGTGCAAAACTAGACAGTGCTTTTACTCTCCACTGTTATGCTGCCAGTGCTGTTCCTATGTTCCCATTACTGCAGCATTTGTATTGCCAGGCAATGCCAGTGTCAGACATTGCTGGGAAGTACAGGAACTTTCCAGTTCCAGTAAACAGTCTCCTGGGCTTAAAGCTGAGCTGTGCCATTAGCGGGTCTGTTACTTATGGCTGGGAGTGATTAGAAAATGAGAGGGTTTCCCTGGGGGGGGTGGTGGTGGTGTGTGTAAAAAAAAAAATCTTAATTTACTAGAAAGTATTGAAGCAAAGGCTCAGGTTGAACCCCCCATACCTTGATTCAAATGCTGGCGGCCACACTTCTGGGCAGGCAGCTGTAATACAGTGTGTGCCTACCAGCCCCCTCAAGCCAGGCTGTTTGGACTTGCCACCTCCGAAGGCTGCACGGGTGAAATAGCGTGATGGTAATTCACAGCAGTCGGACTTTCATGAAGGGGTGCAATCCCATGGAGGTTAGAGAAGAGATTGAGGGCAGGAGTTTCTAAAAAAAAAAAAAAAACCAAAAAAAAACAAACTATGAAACTACTAGAAATCAGTGATAAATAGGCTTCAAAGCTCTTGTCTGAGCACTGGGGTTTCTTGGACTCTCAAGTAAACGTAGTCTGGAGAGAAAAGGCAGTTGCTTCAGGTCTGGGTTTTGTCCTATCTCAGCAGTAGTTCAGGCAGACCTTTAATCAGCCCTAATTGCAAAGATCTTGAGACGAGCTCACTGCTGTGTTGTGCCCTGTGCTGTGAGAGTTGGTTACGGGAAACACTGACAGCCGAAACAAAGATGAGCTGTGTGGCTCCTGTGGGCGTCTCTTGCAGTGCTGGGTACCAGGCAGATCAAAAAACCCAGTTCATGTCTCCCATGGAGTGCAAAACTGCCCCACCCTGCACCCCACTGCATTTTCTGGGTCCCTAGAGGAGAGTAAACTCCTTTGCTAAAGATCTGGTTTGCTAAAGATGGGATCTACTGCAAATCTATTTATTGGGTAATGCTGCTCTGAAAGTGTAGCTATCTACGTAATTGGTAAAAGAAATACTGAATGGTGTTTTGTCTCTGCTGGAGCAGGTTGCTCTAAGTTTAACTGTGCCGGCTGAACATGAGCCGGCAGTGTGCCCAGGCGGCCAAGAAGGCCAATGGCATCCTGGCCTGTATCAGAAATAGTGTGGCCAGCAGGAGCAGGGAAGTGATAGTGCCCCTGTACTCAGCACTGGTGAGGCCGCACCTCGAATACTGTGTTCAGTTTTGGGCCCCTCACTACAAGAAGGACGTTGAGGTGCTGGAGCGTGTCCAGAGAAGGGCAATGAAGCTGGTGAGGGGTCTGGAGAACAAGCCTTATGAGGAGGGGCTGAGGGAACTGGGGTTGTTTAGCCTGGAGAAAAGGAGGCTGAGGGGAGACCTCATCGCTCTCTACAACTACCTGAAAGGAGGTTGTAGCGAGGTGGGTGTTGGTCTCTTCTCCCAAGTAACTGGCAATAGGACGAGAGGAAATGGCCTCAAGTTGTGCCAGGGGAGGTTTAGATTGGATGTGAGGAAAAATGTCTTTCCTGAAAGAGTGGTTAAACATTGGAACAGGCTGCCCAGGGAAGTGGTGGAGTCACCATCCCTGGAAGTATTTAAAAGACGGGTAGATGAGGCGCTTAGGGACATGGTTTAGTGGGCGTGGTGGTGTTGGGTTGATGGTTGGACTCGATGATCTTGGAGGTCTTTTCCAACCTTAATGATTCTATGATTCTATGATTCTAAAACATGCAGAAAAACCATAATGGGCATACGCTTGTCTAGTGTTAATTTAAACTACATGTAGCTGCCTAAAACCATCATAAAGCTCTCAGATGTAGGCCTCTGCTCATCTCCTAAATGCACTGATAACAAAATTATAAAGGAGGATTTATGGGGCCAAATTGACTTGGTAATCAGTTCCCATTGCTTTTAAGGCTTCTCGTGTGCCTTTTAGGATCCCAGACTGCAGGTAACAAGGGCTGAGCTTGATGTTTTAAGGCGAAAACCAGCACAGGGGTTCTGTGAGTCCCAAGGCAAAAGATAAACTGTCCTTTTCCCTGTACCGAGCTGGCAGCAATGAAATCTGCTGGCACCTCCCCTGGCCTCCTGGCAGCTCTCTGCTGCCCAGGTATGAACAGTGGCTTGATGGATAGCAGATGAAACAAGAAACCTATTTATCCATTTAAAAGTAAGTCCAGCTTTTCCAGCTGGAGGTCAGGGAATCCTCTGCATTGCTCCTAATGCAAAATCAGCCCCACAGAAAGTCCTGTTACTGAAGGCCAGCCCTGGTTCCCAGGGCAGGAACACGTTGTGGGGCTGCAGGCTCAGTGTCAGGGTTTGCTTTGTGGAGGCAGCCCCTTCCTTCATCAGCCTGGCACTGTTTTTTTCCGTCAGGAAACTCCTGAAGAGCCTGGTGGTGACAGTGGGGGAACGTCACCTCCAGCGGGCGGACAGGCAGGAGCAGAGCATCCCCATCTCACTTGTCATCATCCACCCTGCGTTCAACCAGCTACACTACATGGACTGTGATGTGGCCCTGCTGCACCTGCAGCACCCAGCCCAGTACAGTAAGCAGGAGCCCAAGGGCTGAAGGTGAGCTGCCGCTGCGGGAGGGTGCTTTACGTGGGCAAAGTCCTCATCTGATGCGCTGGTCCAGAAAGAACACCCCTCTTCCTTCCCTTCCCATGCTCTCTATGCTAGAGAAATATCCCCTCAGTTATGCCTTTAATTCTTATCAAAGTAACACAGGTTAATTCTTGTCCTAGGCTTTGATTAATTGTCCCAGAAGTTTATCCCTTGGTCAGGGTCTGTGCTCTGGATATGCCCATGTTTTCTTTGTGCACCAGATTCCTGTGTGCCTTTGTGTTCCCTTCATATAAACTGTACCAGCACGGCTTCCTTCGGCCCTGTTGTCCTAACGCTAGCTCTCGGCTAGCTGCTGGAAAGCTGTCAGCTTCCTCTTGGCCATAGCCCTGGGCTATTAGCTAGCAGTGGGCTGCAAGGGCCCTGCCCACTGAGAAGCAGGCTGGATTAAAACCTGCCTGCTCCAAGTACTACTGCAGGCAAAGGCAAAGCCTCTGGAGGTAATTTTAGGGTGTCGGAGTTAGGGAAGTGGCACGAGTCTCTAACTTCCTAGGCTTTTCAAAGGCAATTCCCTGAGCTGTATAGAGCTACATGGGTTACAGCCAACTGGCCATGACTGCCTGTGACCATCAGATGGCAGATCAGCCAACATAAAATAACCTTCTGTCACTGTCATATCTCAGATCACTGGCTGGGATGGTGATAGCCTTATGGTTTGCCCATGATGGCAGGAGAAAGGGAAATAAGACCCAAGAAATGTTCATTTCAGAACTCGGACATCCTGGCAGGCAGCGTGAGGAAGGCTGCTTGAGGGCTGCCTGTGTGCCTGTACTCTCTGGCTAAACAGGTATCTCTAGGCATGAACTGGGCTTGACAGCGTCTGAGCCGTATGGACAACCCTTGAGGAAACTACAGGGCTCCCTGCTTAGCCCTTCTGAAGGCTGGGCACTGCCAATGCCCTGTCAGGGCAGCCAAGGAGAACTGTGATCCATTTTTCTTCCAGTATCAAGAAAAAACTAGCCAGTAAGAGTCTGGGTTGAACTGAGCTGAGTTTTTTTGTGTCCTGCGTAACTCCTCTGATCTGATCAGCACTGGTCTTTGGGGGGAATGGTGTGAAGAGTTTCCCAAGCACTGTCCAGTTTCCATGCTGTATGGGATTGATACAGAGACTTGCTTTCCTTTCCTTGTCCCTGCCATGCTGTTTCTCCCTTTTCTATTGTCCCCTTCCCAAGTATCCTTCTGCTTAAGTTAACATTCAAAGATAGCTAACAGTCTTCCTGGTCTCTCTCTGAATTTGCCTCACGTATAAATTCAATTACATGTGACTAACTTCAGTTTGTATTCCCATTTTATAGATACCCACGTGTGACTGGTATTTTGGGAAGGGGAGAAATGGAACAGTGTGACTTGAAGGGTGCGGCTTGTACCTGTAAATCAGACATGCTCCTGGAAGGATGGGGTTCATGCGCTCATTTGTGCACCCTTTCCTCTGCAGGGGACGAGGTTCAGCCCATCCGCCTTCCCCACAAGGATGAAGACTTCCAGGCTGGGACACCATGTGTGGCTAGTGGCTGGGGCAAGGTGTCTGAGGGTGAGTCAAATGGCAGGGTCTTCTGGTCACAGTTGCAGGAATAAAGCGTAATAGGTAAGGGAAAGGAGCCACTTTCAGAAATGGAAATGCGAGAGAAGGTGACTCCTGCCAGATGGAAAATTCAAGTACCCCTTGGCTCATCAGATCTTCTCTGCTTTTCAGAGGACCAGCCCCCGTAGGGATGTGCAGATCAGCATTTTCCTGCAGCATGGGACCTTGGAACACATTAGGGAAGGTTGCCCTTTGCAGTGCTGCTGTGCATATTCATGCGTGCGTGTCGGAGCCTCTCGCAAGCAGAGCTGTCCTTACAAGGTGTTACAAAAGTGGGAATAGTTCCCTTGTACTTAAAAATGTATACTCTTCTATACTCTCTCCTCTAGATATCAGAAAACTGTTCCCTCAAAGGGAATTCCACTTGTTTGAGTTTTGGTAGATTTTAAAGGAGATGGGAATGTCTATGAATGTTGCTTTTTATTTTTACATCCCCAGTGGTTTGGGGCAGGCAAATGGTGGGGGATCCCCCAGCTGCTCGTGCTGGGTTGTTGGGGAAGGGGTGGATGTGGCTCCCAGGAGATGGGGCTGTTAGCTATCATTCGGCCGGAGGGGAGAGCTGTCTTGCAGATGCTGGACGTGGCCAGCGGCTGGGGTGCTGGCTCCCGTCCTGAAGGAGATGGAGCTGCTCCTCACTGACAGCCAGACCTGCAGCGTGCTGCTGATGGGCATGAACCAGCTGCCCGTGTGGGGCTCCATGCTGTGCGCTGGCTCTCTTGACGGCAGGAGGGACACATGCAGGGTAACAGCTTATCCACCCTGGCTCCCGCTGGGCAGCAGGCTTGTCCTGTCCACCCACAAACCTTCTCTCCTGGGGAGAAAGGGAAGCAGCAGCACTGACAGTGCTGTCAGCACTTTGCTGAGCAAGGGCTTTACAAGGAGCTTCAGGATAATGAAGGCAGGAGGAGTCATTTGTGGGTGGGAGTATGGATGTGAGCAGGAGACTGAAGCATGACTGCCCCCCTTGCCTAGACCTGCCCTGGGCATTGCTAACAGCAGGACCTCCATCTCTGCATGCAAGTGCCACCACCTCTGCTGAATCCAGGGAGGACCTTCAGTGGTGCGACTTCAGGCAATGGGCAAGGGAGCCTGGCATGGGCGATGCTACCAGGAGGTTGGAAAGAAGGCAGTTTCCAGCTCTCCCTCAATGTCCCCTTACACACACTCAAGCCTTCTGATACCTTCACTCAGACAGCCCCACTGGGCAGTGGGCTGCAACAGAAGAGTTCGCTCAGTGCCAAACCTTCCAGTGCTGGCCCTAGCAGTGCAAGTGGGGCCGGTCTTGCCCTGCCCTAGGGAAGGCTGCTGACCAGGTTGTTACTAGTCCCCTTGGGGTGTACTTACATGAATATTTTTTTAACCAAACAGTAGCCTGGGAAGCTCCCTGCCCTCTGTCATACCTTGTGTGCACATTTTCAAAGCAGTGCTGCAGCTGATGTTAGTGAGATGGCTTTCATTTTTACATTTTTAATGGAAAAAAGGGGTTTGTGTATGGGGAAGGGCAGGGTGCCAAACTGCAAGTCAGATCAGGGGAGTGAAACAACAGAGCTTAGATTGGTGCGTTTTAGATTAAACAAGCACAGCTGAATGAGCAGGGACAGTGCCAGGCCCCCGTGACTGGGGAGAAGCAAGCAAGGTTGTGTTGGCTTCTGCGGTAAAGCTGGGCTGTCATGCAACACCGTCAAAGGTCGGTGCTGCTGGCACAGAAACAAATGGCATCTTTCCTCCCTGATGGGCTGCAGACAGGGTGACTCTGGAGGCCTTCTTGCATGTCTGAGGACTGGCAGCACCTGGACTCTGGTCGGTGTAGTGTCCTGGGGGGTCGGTTGTGCCAGAGGATGGGATACCCGCAAGGGAAGCACCACGGCCCAGGGCTCACCAGGCATCTTCTCCCGGGTGGCTGTGTCCATGGACTTCATTGCCCAGCACATGGCACCAGGTAGGTATGAGTACTGGGAGATTTTTTCCTCTCCTGTCTGTTCAGCACTGTAGGGACCCAAACTGCCCTGCTATCGCTGCCTCCCTCCCCTCCACCCACAGCAGTTCCGTTTAATTTCCAGCTGCTGCATCAGCAGCAAGGTATATCATCTTTTAATTTGGGGTGGCGAAACTAAAGCTTCAAACGGATAAGCCCCCCTTCAGAAACCCTGTTATAATAGCAGGTCTGACCCCCGCATCCTCTGAAGGAAAAGCAGAAGGCTACTCAAGCTGCCCTCTTTCTGGCTGAATGCAGCCCTTCCAGCTTGGCAAGGTGTCCCTTGAGCACTGCATACCAGCCCTGCTCTAATAAAGGCCTGCTTTGAGCACTTGCCAGCTCGAGATCTGAACTGCTGTTGTGCCCCTGAAACGGCGTGCAGGATTGATCGGGGGTTATCTCCTCGTCAAATACAACTTTGAATGCGTATGGGAAGAGGGACACCGTATTAAGTGCTGCAGTTTTAGTGGCTTGTCAGAAATGCCTTTTATAGCTAGGAACAGGTCTAGCAACTCCCCACTGGCCACTTGTATTTTTCTGTACAGATGATTACAGGGCTAATACAAGTTGTTAAAGAGATGGTGTTATTTCTGTCATAGCCATCAAAGTTGAGGTGTTGGTATTAACTAATATCCAACCTATTACGGCTTTGCTAGGGATCCTTAATGATTATGCTTTCAAAGGGGGACTGTCTGCAGCTAAGAAGGTGCCTCTTAATTGGGAGCAGTAACTGCAAGGAGCAGAAGCCATGTGGCTACAAAGTGGGTGCATTACCCTTTGCAAAGCAGAGCTATTTGGATTCATACAGACCAAATGTCCACAGAAGATGAAGGGAAGGCCAACATAAAAGTGGTGCTTCATTAAAAATGAGCTTGGAGTAGCAATGTCAGCTCTTAACAGGCTGAATGAATGTGAGCCCACCGTTGGTGGGACAACTCCTGAAAGTTTGGGGATTTTTAAGTAGGCCTTTGGGAAAGAAATTGTGTGCTCTCATCTGAGGCTTCTCTCAGCTGCATGTCAAGCACTTTGTGTTTGAAATAACTGCAGTGCCGTAGCCTGTGCCTTGACCAATAGTGCCTGTACTGCAATATGCCATACAACCTTTTTCTCTCCATAGCTGCTGTGCCAAGCCCTCTCCCTGCACCAGCAGGGTGCAGTTCCCAAGGCGTGCCGCTCTTTGGAGAAAGTGGCTGCATTTGGTACCCCCAGGCTTTGGAGGACAATTATCCTGACAACAAGTAACTGTAGTTTGGCTGTAATAGCCAAACACTGAATTTTCCTTGGGGCACCCACCAAAGTGTTTCCCAGGGCTCGGAAGCCCCGACCATCGCTGGCCCAGGCATCACTGTCAGCAGTGTCCAGATGACAGCGGCTGTGTGTTCCCTGCAAAGCAAATCCCCAGCTATGCTTGCTGGGCAGGATAACGCTGCGGGGGAAGGCAGGAAGACAAAGTCTATTTGTAATACAGATTCTGTATCAGCCATGCTCACAAAATGGATGCAGCTGGCTAGACATCTGTTGTACCCTTTATCCTTTGGTCTGGCCATGTTGATGTCAGCTCACACAAAGAAGCTTTCAGCCCCTGCAGGAGGCAGGGGGATGAGATGGACTGGGCTGGCAGTGTGTCAGTCGCACAGCACAAAGCTATCTCTGCTGTAAGGAAGCATCAGTTCCCACCTAGTGCTGAGCAAATCCACAGCAGTCCTCTGCTACTGGTAACTCTCTTGCCAGATGGCTTATGCCAAGGGGGAAGATGATAAAATTTACCAGGTAGAGCTGGTGACATCAGTTGTCAGCTTCTGGTGTGTGCTTGCAGGAAAGCAGTTGCTGGAGACTCCCAGCCCACGGTGGGACTGACAAAGGCTAAGCTCAGCCATGCAGATACATGCCTTTACTATTGCTTGCTTCTAGCCTATGCACCTGGAATATAACAGTGCCGGAGGACAAAATCATCCTGATAGACTTCACCAAATTAGATGTAGAGTACCAAGTTGGATGTGACTGTGACTGTGTCCCTCTATTTGAACAGAAGAGAGCTGATCAGTAAGTCTGGGTGCCTTGGAGTGAGGGTTACTGGGTGTAGTTTCTTGTCATTCATTGTCATGAAGAACAGCAAATCTAGCTGGCTTTTGAGAAGCCTTTTGTATTTTACACTATGAATCTAAAGAGCTAGAGATGACACCCAAATGGAGCAGGGCAGGTGGGACCGAGGGACAGGTTCATGTTTGTGCTGGCATCTAGTGCAGTGTGGCGGGCGTCTTAAAAATGTCTTTCAGCTGTACATAATTCTGTGCCCCCTCTGCCTTGTCTCCAATATACCTATTTTACTCTTACGGACTCTGGGGTATCAGAATAAACCGAGTGCTTATCCTTGCTTAGCTGGTGCATGTCCAGACAAGTTTCCGATGTGTTAGCAGAGCCAGCAAGTGTCACGTGCATTGGAGACACAGCTCAAAGGCTGGCTCTTCCTTGGTTCAAAATTGGTTATGAGGTGCAACATGCATGCAGATTACTGGGTAAGTACAGATGAGACTAAAAGAAACGTGGCCTGTTGTCCCTCTGTGCTTAATACTGAACCAATAGAGAATAAGTATTTCCTGCAAATACTGGCTGCCTCTCCACTCTGACTTAGTTGTAACGGCAATGTGTTGATAATAATGTTAATCCTTAGTCAATGCAATTAACCCTCTAGGAATATTTGGTTGTTCATATGGTTGTTTTGGATGAAGTCCCATCTACTCAATTTTTCTCTACAGCCTCTAAATATTTTATAGGTAATGAAAGCCAAATAGTCTCTCCACTCAATGTAAGAAGAGACCTTCCCGATGGGATCTAGCTTAACGAACCACTGTGAGATTTGCCTGAATAAATGTATGTTCAGCGCACCCTTCCCACTAACTCCTTGTCTCCCTCAGGTAAATCCTGTGGGAATGTGTTCCCAGCCCCTCTGCTGGCAGAGTCGGACCAGACCACCATTACAGTTGTTTCTGATGGGAGCAACACTGGCCGTGGCTTCAAGCTCACCTTCACGGCCATCCATAAGGACTCTGAAGCAGGAGACCTCGCCTGTGCTGTAGAAACTCCTTTCCCCTCCTTCCTGACCCCTTTAAAATAACAACTATCCTTAGTGTGCCTGGGTTCCTTAAAAATCAAGTTGTTGATCTGGGTTTATTAAAAGTACCATATAATCCCATCTGTTAAATTGTCTCCTTTTTCATCTGCATATTGCAGGTTTGGGCTGTGGGAGTGTCGCAATGTTAGTGGAAGAGGGGAAGATTGATACTGCTAATTACCCTGGCTTGTATCCCAGGAACACAAAGTGCCACTGGCTCATTGAGGCTCCAGCAGAGTATGTCGTAAAGGTAATAAAAGGAGAAACTGCACTTAAACCTCTGCACTAAGAACTGTTCAGGGGGGCGATTCAATAAAATCCTGCCAGAAACATCTGTGACATGCAAGACTGTAAATTGTAAGGTTTCTAGGTCACTGATTCTTTGCAGGCATATTTTGTCAATTAGACATCACCTCTGAACTCATGTATGGAGGGGCTGTGACTGTTGTAAGTGCTTGAAGTATGTAGGCACCAATCTCATCTCAAGACAGCATCATCTTGAAGTCCAGCACAGACAGTTAGGGGTAAAGGGAAGGCAGAGATCGTGTTGCAAAAAATATAGTCAGCCTTTTCCTCAAGGCAGTGTCAAAAGCTACTCCTTAGTCCCATACCAAGGTGTTTGTTTCTCATTGTGCATGGGCTGTGTGACGATGGTTCCCACTCACAGTACCAGCATAGTACCATTTAAAAAATAAAGATTATTTTTATTGCCTGTTACTGCTTGTGTGCAGCAAGTGTCCCACCAAGCTCATCCCAGCCCATGATGAGTCACGTTGCCATCTTACATTGTTCAAAGCGGCAACATCTCTCCTCCCCTGCTGCCTTGACTAAGAGGTGGAAAAACAGTGTTAAACCCAGGGATGCTCAAGGGTATGCAGACCTATTGCTTGGGTTGCTGCTGCTCTGTTGGAGTGAGAATTTGCAGTCTGGATTAAAAACAAAATGAAGGGAAAATCACGCACTCTCCATGCTTGAAGGAAAAGCTCTTGGAAGAGCACTCCATATGGGATACTAAACCTTCAGAAGTACAAAGCATTGAGTGTTGCAGTAAAGATGACAGTTGAAATCTCTTAAGGCAAGGCTTAGGCCAGCCTCATTCTCTGCAGACCTGTCTGTAGCCCTGCACAGGAGGGAGCAGTCAGGCTAAGGTTGCCAACAGACTGTTTTGATGTAAAATGTGACACGCTCACCAAGTGTGAGTGCTCAAATTCCTCTGAAATCTAACTTTTCTCCAGCTCATGGTTAAGAAGGGTAAGTGTTTCAGTCTTGATGATTCCCTCTTGCTTGTCCTCTTTGCAGCTGGAGTTTGAAGACTTTGCTGTGGAACTTAGCCCAAGCTGCATTTACGATGCAGTTACTGTTTATGGTTATGAAGAAGAAGAAGAAAACCAGTTGGGTGAGTACTAATTGTTTCAGTCTTAAATTAGAAATCCCTGTGGAAACAGGTGTGTTTTATCACCAAAACACTCTCTCTGGTAACGTGTTACTCAGTACTATTGAAAGGGCGATATAAGGGCTTCTGCAGTAGCCTTGAGGCTTGCCCAGCTGTCTTGCCCATCATGATGCGGCCAAGCGCGCCACTGGCACAGGAGATCCCACATCCTGGTCCAAGGCCATGCTTTCTCATGGAGAGCCGGCTGGTGTTGCGCAGTCAGATATAGGACCGTGGTTCACGTTCTGCTGCAGAGCCAGCAGAGCACACAAGTGTGTGCTGCTGGATCAGGCCTCCACTCTGCATCTCTCTATCGAAGGGGAGAGTAAGAGCAACTTTGATCTAAGTGTTACTAAAGACGACAAATGTTCAAAGTAAGGCAGAATGAAAGAGTGATTGTCGATGAGTTGTCTAATTCCACTGAAATGGATATGAATTCTTTATGAATTGAACTAATTCTGTTGGAATTTCATTAATGAAATATTGCTAACCTGAGGCATTGCTTTCCCACACTTTCAGAAGGAAATATTTTTTAATTCCTGACTTTAAATCTGCTTCAGTTTTATCAATATAAAAATCTTTAACTGTAGTGAAAGAAATGTTCTTAACTTTCTTTTTTTTTTAACATCTGTATTTCCAGATGTTCCTCCTACTTGGACGAAATGAAAGCATGTTGTAACACCCCATCTTTTTTTTTAAAAAACAGCTTCCAGGCACCACACTCACTTTAGCAGAGCTTGATATCTATTGTTAAGGTGAAAAGCAATCTGGTGTTCAGAAGTGAAGGTATTTGAATTGAATTCTGGCTACCTCTTTACAGGCCTATATGTCAACCAAAAGGCACAGTAGAGTGATGAGGGGCTGGTGCTCTTTTCTTTGCACCAAATAAGCTGGGTAAGAGGCTTGAACTGTCCTGGGTTCACCATTGACAAGTGATCTTTGGCAAATGGCTTCTGTTTTTTCCCCGTCTATTTTGTGGCGGTAATTTGGTTGCATGTGTTTACCAAATGCTGAATAAGTATTAACACTACGGTTCCCTTGAAAAGAAATCTGGTTTCCATTGGAAAGGAGTATTTAAGTGGGGGGAAGAAGGCTGACAAATCTGAATCCGGAATCTTTCAGGGGTGAGCTTTCAGCATCCCGGAACGTTTCACTTGATGCTTTCCAGCACAGCTTTGCTATCAGAAATTCAGATTCTTACAGGAAAGCTCCTCTGGAATAAAGTGCAAGCTTCCTATCCAGCTGCAGTTATGGGTCTTCCAGATGCTATGCAAACTGAGTGCTCTCAATAGTAAGAAAAGTCTAGCATTTGCTCTCTAGGTCCTCAACCTGTACATGTAAACCATTCAAGAGAGGCTTTGCTTGCACCCCCCAGCAGTGGCAAATAACATTCTTAAGTGTGGGAGTTTTTGTGCAATGAAGGGCATTCACACTCTCTGTTGAAGATTACTTGTAATTCCACTATGAGAAAATTAGGATTACTTTTGTGTACCTGTATTATAACTGTAGTAGGTTAATTCTGGCTACTACTGCTTACTGATGTCACTGACTAACATTGCTTTGCAGGCACCTCTTCTGCAAAAGTTCTTGTTTTAATCAGAAAGTCACCAAGACTCTAGGGGTTTGGTTTTTTTAGAAACCTAGATTAGCTAAAGCCACAAGTGCTTACAGGGTGACATTTCTCATCTTAGAAATACAGATTTTTGTTCGTTCCCACAGCTAATCTCTGTGGATTCTCAACTCCCAAACCAGTGCTGAGTCCAGGGAATACCATGCTGGAAAGTGACAGGTGGAACAGTTTCAGAGGGTTCAAAGCCCAGCTCACTTTTGTTCGTTCAGGTTTGTAGAGATGCTTGCTGTGTCTAACAATGTCTGCATCATCTGCGGCTATTCTCAGACACCTGAGCTTATTTTTTAGGCCAATCCTGCTGCATTCCATCAAGGTAACTTTAAAACAGAATAGCTACTTGTGGCAGAGCTCCCTTCCCTGAATAAGGGAGAATAATCAAGGTTTTTTTTTCTTTTCTCACTGAGAAATGAAATTACTAACTTCTGTTACCTGAAACAAGCAGCCTTGTTAATTATGTCAGTCTGATACTCCCCTTGAAAATCTCATTATAGAGGAGACTCTTGATCCCGGGGGCTAGTCTGCTATTGTTGCTTTCTATTTTCATGAATGTGTACCAGCTGCTGCTTGAGGGGATGAATAACTTTTCCCTTCCAGAGTGGGGACCTTTTTTTGAGGGGACAGACCTATTGACCCAAGTTGGAGCTAACTCTTATTTCCTCTCTTGCAGAGGAGGCAGGCAGAGAAGATTCAGGATTAACTCCTGCACCAATGTTGCCTCTGAAGGATGTCCCCTTAGGTAAAGAAATTAAATTCTGCTCAGTTGATCTGGTCTGAGGAGCTTTCCTCTAACATGTAAGAGGATTATGCAGTGAGGCAGATGCTTTCTGACCTCAGGTCCCCTTTTGTGCACTTCTTGCATGAAGTGATAGGCAGGTGCCCCATCTCTCAGTCTGCATACGTGTGGTACATCCTCTCCGTTCTGGTTGCATGCACTTCCTATTGGGAGCAGGGACACAGGGTAGAGGATGGGAGAGACCCGCTTTCAGTGCCTGAGCCTTGTTTGCTCTCTGAAGTGCTCTCTTGCAGACACCTGTGGCTTTCCCCCAGTTACTCCCCAGTGGCTGTTCAAGTGTGTTAGTGGGGCTTGAGGAGGCCTCTCCTCACTGTTGGGCATGACACACTGCCCTGAAGCTCCTTGGAGACTATCAGTGCGATAGGGCTGTCATCAGCCCTATGTAGCTGCTGACAGCCGCCCACTGTGTGAAGCTGTGAGTGTGACCAGCACGTCTCTGGGCCACCTCTGCTCCTCTCCCCATGCTGTGCACTCCTCCTGCTCCTCCAGGCTGGGGCGCAAACAGCTGGAGAGCTATAAATTATATTCACTCCTTCATGTCCTCTACAAAACATTCCTTCTGCCCTTCCTCCACGATCACTGATTTTTAGAGATGGCAACAGTTTGGTCTTGCTTGTAGGAGATCCATTAAAGTTAATTGGACTATCTGCTGTCAGAGCTGTAGCAAAGCCAGAACTGATGCAACATATTTGCCGTGGTGAGAAGCTCTTGCTCAGCGGTCCTGGGAATAAATGACTAATTAGAGAAGAGCCAGAAGGGATGTATGACTACTGAATAATGAAGCTGTATGGCTGACTGTAAGTAGCTCCAATATGTTTGCTTTCAATATACAGATCCAATAAACCCTTGCACTGGACTGTGACAGTAGGAGACCACGACAGAGCCCTGAGAGTGTCAACAGAACAGGTAAAAACCAAGAAGTACCCTTAAAAATGTTGACTTTGGTGTATTTGCCCCTACAATATTTCTCAAAACAGATCTATATGCACAGATAAAACAGTGTTGACAGCAAGGCAAAATGTCTGATATGTAGCACAGGTTGAGGAATGAGAAAGGAAATCCAGTAACTCTGGTCTCATTCAGTTAACTTGCAGTTTATGGAAGTATGTTTTATATCTGGTTCTTATTAGGAGCAGTAAAAAGTCTTAAAATCTAACAGAGATGACTGAGTGTCCTCAGCATCTTACTCTCTTGGTGCTGAGCAATATATCTGCCTATAAAAATCTTGCTGACTCTTTCTTCCTAATGGGGAGGAGGAAGAAATACATGTGCAGAAGAAGCACAAGTGACTCTGACTAGTCTTCTGCAAAACCTTGGCTTGTGTTTGCACTATAAAGCAGTAAGACTTCACTCTAGGCTCAGGAGGTCTACATAATTCGTCCCAGCAATCTTCTCGACTGAAAAACGGAGAAGCGGGGGATTTGTCTTCAAAGTCCTTGCACCTTGTTTGTTTCTTTTCATGACTTATTTTGAGCTTGGTCATTGCCTGTGGGACTTTTGCCCTCTTCCTTTACAAATATGCTTTCAGGATGCACTCAGAGGGCAGCTTGTTCCTTCTCTGCCCTGACCCCTCTTCCCTGGTCACAGGTGAGACAGGTGAAAACCATCGCGCTGCAGCCCCACTTCAACATGCTGAGCTATGACTCTGACATTGCCCTGGTGCAGCTAGACGTCCCTCTGGAGTACAACGCTGCTGAGGCCAGTGTGTCTGCCCAACAGCACAGAGACGTTATCTTCGTCTTCCCTCTGCACTGTGTCTGGATGGGGGATCATCGAAGAAGGTGGCTCTTCTGATTTTGCATGTTTGCCTATTATAAGCAGAACATACATTTTAACCTCATATTTTATTCTTCTGTCCAGACCTAACCTCGAATTTATTTCCCAAGCAGATGGGAGCTGAGCTAGGCGGTTGCAGCAGACACAAGTGAGCGGCTGTGTGGTGCTGAGGTTAAACCACAACAACTTGAGAATGAAATCTGTGATAGAAATTACTACTTCAGTCACCCTGGAGGGATCACAGCCAGGATGCCTTGTGCTGGCTTTGTTTCTGTGGGAAGCCAGGACTCCTGTCGAGTGAAGTAAAAATAAAGGTGAGCGCTCTTGAAGGTGTCTGCGTATGGACGTTGGTAGACCATCTGGGGGAAGGGACTGGGGAGGACAGAGGGGAGAACAGCATAGAGCAAGTGACAGTTAAAAGCTCCAACAACTTGCTGTCCCTGGAGTGGACAGTACTTACAAGAACAATAGAGGCAGTCGATCTGTACAGGAGATATACGCAATGTGCAGTGTTGCTTGGAAGTGGGACCACAGAGTTTAGTAATCTTTCTCTGGACTGTAATTTTCATGAGACCTGCAGAGGAGAGGATGTTCTTCCCTTGCACTTCCCAAGTCCCATCTCTTATCCCAGTGAAACACTTCCCATTGTAGCTTGCTTGGAAACCCTTTCATAGCACTCTTTTGTCAAGATAAACTATGAAGACTTCTATTGGTTTTATAAAACTCTTGTATTCAGAGCACTGTTCAAGAACTAACTAATCTTGAAATCATGAGGCAAGCAGGTAAGAACAGCTGAGTAAATAAAAGGCAAAGTAATTCTGACTGAGGCACTGTCAAGCTAAAATGCAGGTTCTGCTCAATACCCCAATCTTATGGCAGACTAATAAATTATGTGTAACACTAAAGAGCGCTATTCAATCATATTTGGTCTGCAGCCTGTGCTCAGTCTTCACTCCATGCTAATAAGCAAGCCTTTAAATCGGTCTTTTCATTCCAGGCTAGGGCTGAGTTGCTCCAGCAGCTGCATGCCCTGTTCTTGCACGGAGGCTTTTTCTTGGGCAAATCTGAGCTGTGACAGCTCTCTTCTTAGCTGCAGCAGTGCGGAGGCCAAACGAGATAACTGCGAGTCCTCTCTCTTTTGGTTCCTGGGGTGGTTCTGGTGGCCTCTTGGTTTGCAACAAGGAAAATGAACCGTTTACTCTATCTGGCATTGTCAGCTGGGGTGTTGGCTGTGCCAGCCCAAAGAAACCAGGGGTCTATTCAAGTGTGAGGATTTTCCTGGACTGGATAAGACTGCTGATGAAAGGTGAGTTTTCTTTGTCTAAGTGAGATGAGTCCTGAATATAACCCCTTTGTATAAAATATCTGAAGTGCATTGAGGTTTTGTCTAGTAGACTTTTTGAGGCAACTTAAGAGGAAGAAAAAAAAATCCATGTATTTCCTGCAGAAAGCCTCCACTTCCTTCTCTTCCTCATACCTTCCCCCTAAACAAAGCTTACTGGAAATCAGAACGGGAGTTTCAGAAGCATAAGATTTGTATTTAACACTTCTGGCTCTCAAATTGAGTGCAATCTTTGGACAGATACTTTTCTCAGTAAAAAGTGGCTGCTTGCGAAAATGCTTACCAGCCCCACACTTTGGGCAGAATAATTAGGGACAATGCTGTAAACTGAACTTGTGTGTGTGTGTATCTAGATATAATTAGCACCACATTCAGAAGTCTGCAGGATAAATTTTGCCAGAGAAAGTGCTAGAGAAAGAGTAGCATATGCTAGTGAATAAGGACTGACTGCATGAAAGTGATGGTATCTTACGAAAGGAAGCGGCTCCTGTTCTTAAACTGGGGGCACTCTCCTGCAGAGAAATGAGGGGAGCAAACCTGCTTGAGGGGCTCCACGTGAACCCAGCATTGACATACTGCTTCCCTGCACCAGCTCGCGCTCTCCTTCTTTCCCAGAAGTTACTGCTGAGGCTCCTCAGGTCAAGGTGAATTTGGCTTTATAGTTTCATTGGCAAATGGAGAAATCCAGCACTTCAGCTTGTTTCATCTGATGGGATTTGAGAGATTTCAAAGAAACACCAGATAGCTTCAGGTCTTTTTTCCATGTTAAATAAACTGATTTGTCATTCTAGAGAAATATTTCACTTTGGCTCAAAGTAGTTGCACTGGGAAACTGCTGATGCAAAACCTTTGTCTTCCAGAGCTTTATCCCTCCTCCTTCCCTGCATGTGCACACGTACAGCCAAGTACGTAATTCTCCATTTAGTGAGTAGCTGTGATTGTCCCACAGCATTTCTTAAGAAAGAGGAAAGACCTAATCCTGGACAGAGTTTTCATGTTTCTGCCCATTCTATATTTTATTCTACTGCTGCCAGCAGAAAATGGAGGACTTCTGCTAACAGGAATAAATTTATTTTTTTTTTCTGTATCCTGAATAAAGTGTGCTGCAGTTATGAGCAGGACCTTAAAGGATGCATTAAAGAAAAGAGCACTTGTGGATAATGCTCCACTCTCAGGTCAGATGAGCACTCGGAGTCTCCTGCTTTGTGCTGCAGCTGCCGGTCTTTCTCCCTTGTGGCATCGTTCATAGTCCCACACTGACATAACAGAAATGTTAGTACAGGTGCCGACTAAGGGAGAACTTTCTTCTAAACTAAAACCAGTTAACAAAACAAATTGTCACTTGTATGGTAGCCAGACCATCCCCACAGATAAGCTGGGAGCTGGCTGGAGATATTCCATACCCTTGGATCTGACACAACTGGCTGCTGACCACTGACTGTCTGACGGCTGTAATGGCTTTCATGGATTTACTGGAGGTCAGGCAGTTTATGCAGGGAATTGCTCAGCTCTGTAGCTGTAAATCTTTCGCAGAGGTGGAGGCTGTAGCATTGCATACAGCTTTTACATATGGCTTCATACAAAAGGTTCAAAGCCCTGTGAGGGCTCTTCGAGCAGGTACATTGGGCTCCTTTATCTGACCGTCATATGATTGCCTTCCTATTGTGGGAAGTGCTTGGCCATGCTGGCTGTTCCTGAGTTTTGTATTAAACTGCCTGTAAGCATGCTGTGCCTCTCCTCAGATGCTGAACAGAGCGTGCTGCAGGGAAGTGGCAGTGCACCAGAGACCTCAGCGCAGAAGCAGCCAGCGAAGCTGCCCACAAAGCTGACGGGAGAGGCGTGCACACAGGGTGGCTGCAGAACTGTGTGGAGCTGTGGCATGCCAGAGGCCGCAGCGCTTGGCTTGCAGAAGGTGGTGGAACCGGTTCAGTTCAGGAGCAGCTCTGGGTAGAGCCTGGTAACAAGTTGGAGTCTCCTAACATCTTGCTTGCAAGTGGACAAAGGTCTCAGGATTTTGTCTTGGGAAGAGGGGTGTGTGTGTGTGTGTGTGTACACACAGGGACAGGGGAGGGAGGGACGGAGGGAGGCTGGTGAGCAGAGCCAAGGGAAGAAAGGCTGTTGTAGCTAGAAGCAGTGGGCTCGTGTGGAGGAGCCAGGGGTCCATTAATACTGATGCTGCAGGTTTCCTGTGCACTTGGGTATGTTGCTTAATCTGCTCTCTCTCTCCCTTATCCTTGGAATGAGGTATTGTTTTATTTTTTTTATCTTCCATGTTTTGGACTGAGTGTCTCAGAGCAGGGACAGTTACTTAATCTCTTACACATGTACTTAGCATAACCAGAGCTGTGGTCTTGGGTGAGGCGCTCTGTCAGCTTGCTGCTGCTTTTAAAGCACAGCAAACAGCCCTGCCCTACTGATGTGCCTCCTCCTGCCTATTAAGCATTTAAATGTTTCTCCACATCCAAAACTGTGACAGTGTTGGAGGAAGACTGATGGAAAGGCTGAAGTACCCCTGAGTTACTGGGTGACACCAGCACTGGCAGCAAATTGGAGGATGCTGTTGCTCACGGGTTTAAAAAGCAACCTGTTCAGGAGGGGATGTGCTACTGGCTCTGCTTGCAGACTTGTGCTGTAGCCAGGGTGTTGGCATGCAGTGTGTGCTTTCCTCCTCTTCCCACTGGCATCCTTGCTGGTGCTCCAAGACATCACACCACTGGGATAAAAATAGGTCCCCCGAAGTGATAAGCAACAGGAGGTGGGCATGCTTTCTCTCCTCGGGGAAGTGCAGCACAGCAGCGACTGTGGGGGCATCATTAGCGCAGCAGCTCCAGGGCTGGTTAGCAGGGGCTGGAAACGCACGCAAGGCTCTTGCCTGCACTGGAGCAGGCTTGTCTCAGCTGAGCTGCTCATCACCGGGTGAGCTCAAAGTCATGGCAAGCGCATGGTGCTGTAATGACCTGAATTGGGGTGTCACTCTGAATGCAAAAATGATTTTTAAAATGAACCTAGAGACAAGCTTTTGCAGCTCAGCCCAATGGGCTTTACCCCCTTCCAGACTGCTGCACCCACGCCTGCGCTGCCGTTCCCTGCTGTCCCCTGATGCAAGCACAGGGCCCATGTCCTCCAACAGTGCTGAGTACATGCAGGAGCCCTTGCCTTGCCTTTGTGCAAAGCTGTGTGATTTTAACTCATTGCTTTTCAACCTAGACTGTGGTGGAAGAGTTGGGTGTTTTGTTTTTGTTTTGTTTTTTTTGTTTTTAAGGCCAACTCTCCTGGAGGAAGGGTACCCTTCCCATAACTCAGCTTGGCCGAGCTCTCTTCCACTGTGGGTTAAGCCAAGTCATGCTTTCCTGTGTGTGCCTTCTAGCCAGCACTGCTGTGCAGTGCTGTTCACACTGCAGCACCTTCCTCAGGAAGCAAATATTCCTCATCTCCCTTCTGGATTTGAAGGATTTCTACCCAGCGGAAGGGCTCAGCTCCACCCTCTCTGTGCTCTCAGTGTCCCGTGCAGGTACGCAGAGACACGGCGTGGTGTCAGCATCCAATCTGAGCAGAAAGCTCATAAATGTTGGTGTGGGAGGAAGCGCACTTAACCGGAATTTAAGCTGCTCTACAGAGGGTATGACTTTAAAAATTGCTGCCTTGGGAGGCAAACAACCCTATTACGCTTGGTACTAAAGGGACATACAGTTCTCATTAGTGATCTTGTTTTCTCTCCTCCTGCTCTGTTACAACCACTCAGATGCTTCCAAATATTTCCCTGTTGATTTGGTCTCTTATTTAACAAGTGTTTAATCTGACTGCACTGTGTGTGCATGCAGCTACAGGCTTAGCCTGCTCTCCTCCTGTGTTTCTACAGAACCAGAGGGTGCATAGACAAAAGCATAGTATTTCATAACTCTTGTCAAGGGCTGGTCACAAGGTCAATTAAAAAAAAAAAATTAGATTTCTTCCTCAGTAGTGAGTGAGTATTTGAGGTTGGTAGGCCTGTTAGCCCAGGTACTTGACCAACCTGTTATCTGTTTTCCAGGTATTGATTCAAAGCACAGCTCAGAGCAAATTTGGAAGCAAGTCTGCTTTCCTCTAAGGGCTGGCAGCTCACTCTTTTATGCTGCCTAGCTTGTGTCTGCTGCCTGGGTCTCCGAGGCTAAGGCGACAGGGCTGCCTTGTGACTCCTGCAGGCTTGCACCAGCCTGAATGCTGGAGCCTAAGAAATGATCTAATTGATGGGAAGGGGTTTTAAAAATATATATAAATAATATATATAAAAATATATATATTTAATCTGCCCTATGTCGGGGTAAGCTTTTTATCAGATCCATTCATTTTTGCCTTTCCAGTGGCTGC